TCCTTAAGCATGTTCTGAAATAGAATGGAATAATAAATCAGAGCACCTCATCCGCTATATATTCATGAGAAATGTAATTGCTTCTTACTATTCTCAGAAATCCATCCATAGAATATTAAGTACACTAGAGAATCATACCAGTGAAAATCAAATTGATTTTTAAAACTTCTATACATATAACAAGATGCAGCCACGCTCAGAGTCCAATGGTGCTGGCATTTCTACAATGAAAGGGATTGAAAAGTGGGATGACTCCACTCCACCTGCTTTGCTTGACTTGCAATAGCTTTGAGCCGTCTTACCAGCTTACCTTACTGCATTCAATTTCAAATCACTTAACTTCACTAAAGTTATTCAAAACGAATATGCAAAATCTTACTCTGGGATTGCAAGCAAAATACTTGTCACATATTTTCTAGTAGGTAATATTTTAACCAAACTACCATCCCCCTAATCTATCTGACTTGGTTTTGAGCATAGGTCTAATTTTAAAGAGCTCTATAGATAAAAGTTCTACTGGCTTTTAATGAATTTTGACTGCTTTAAAAACTTCTTGTTGAGGGGCTGGCCCGTGGCTCACTTGGGAGAGCGTGGTACTGACAACACAAAGTCAAGGGTTAAGATCCCCTTACCAGTCATCTTTAAAAAAAAAAAAAATTCTTGTTTGGTCCCACTAATTATAAAGAATTGTAATTATATATGCTGTGTGTAAGGTTAATGACCATTAACAGGCTGGTTTCTAAAAAATCATTCAAAAATGCAGTCTTTTCGAAATTACTGAAAAGTAAGTTACCAAAGACTGAAAGGTTGGAGGAAGCCTAAACCTTACTAAAATGATGAACTAAAAAACCAACTGGAACTCAGTATTTTGCTACACTGAATTTGTATGAGGGGTCAATTAAGGCAAGTATCTATCATTTAAAGGTGTCTATATCATTACTTGAAAAAGGTCATAAAAATTTCCTGAGAAGCTCCGTTTATGATTGCCATGGGAGTGAAAAATTCAAATCAAAATAAAAATTGCATACTGACTTAGGCAGTTTGAAAGACATTTTATTCTTCTGTGTTATAGCTGTGATGGTATTTTGTGTAGACCGCTGTTACAGTATTCATACTGCATTACAGCTAATCTCTTGATCTCCTCTTGATTGGAAGCAACTTGAGGGCAGGGACTAGTGTTGATTTCTATCTCAGAAACCCTGGAACCTGGGAAAGTACCTAGCACACTGTACGCACTCAAAGATATTATTGGAGTGAATGAGTAAATAAACAAGTGAATGCTGTTTCATGCTATTTCTCTTAACAGTTGTTAAGTGGGGAGAAATATCCCCATTAACAAACATCGAGTACTGGATGAAGCATTTGGCTGCTATCACTCCAAAGCAGCTAGTCACAAATGCTTATCTCTTTTTGGCTCATCCAAATTTTTGACATTTTGCCAAATAAATGGATTCTTGGAATGTGACCATGATTGATTCATTTGATAATAAATTAATATCAAAACATAGGCCAATTGGGTGCCCATTCTGGGACTTTCTCAAATGTACATTTCAACAGGAAGACCATAAGCTGATCTTTCCCACAAGCAAGGGCAGCTGAAGGTGAACCAAGTTAAGTCCCACAACACAAACCGCTTAAATACTTTCTGGTGTTTAAAACATCATCTCCACATGCTCAGCAAAGGAATCATAAGGATGAGTTCCTGTGACCCAAGACTCCAAGATAAATTTAACAAAATATATACTTCACTTAAAATTTTCTCATTTTGATAATATGTTTTCATCCCTTCCACATCTCATTTGTCTCCCATTCAATACAGGATAATAATATTGTATAACCTACTACCTACATACTTCCCTGAGTAATGTGAGAATAAAATTGTGATATAGAAAATCAATGCAGAACAAGTTTCTCTGGGAATCTGTATCAAATTAATTATTGTGAGGAAGGGACTAGCAATATGTCAAAGTATGACTAGGTGTTATTACCAAAATAACTATTGACTGTACTGTCCTGAGCCCCAGGCATCGTGGAATTGTTATGCGAATACCGATCCTGACTATACTTTTACTTGCTTCCTTTTAGGATTTATATTTCCTTCTGGAGATCAAACAACAGTGGATTAGTGGTTTTTGTCCACTCTGGCTTTCATTCCTTGGGTTCTGATGGCTTTTCAGGGTTTACTGGACTTAATAACTATGGAGAAAAGAAACGCCTTTCGCAGTCAGGAATTTGTTTTCAAATTCCATCCAAATCAGAGGAAGATGAGAGAAATTCAGCTTTTAACAAATATATGGAGACTATTAAGATACATGAAATTAAGACAATATAACTCTATGAAGAAATTAGTTTTTTCTAACCCATTTGGATTTCTACTGGATATGCACTGTTGTTAAGTGTTTAAGGTAAATGTTAACTTATATAAAACTTATACAAAACTTTTATAAAAATTATGAATACTGGCTATTAAATGCAGTGTGGGAAATTAAAGTTCGTAAAAAGAAATGACTTCAGATTGTGGAATTTGTATTTCCTCATTAAATTTATGGAAATTATTTTAAACATAAAATTATCCCATAGTTGTGTATAAATCATTTGTTACTTTTTGAAAAGCTGTGTACATTTTACATCTTTCACAGCATATTTATATATTTTTTTATTTCCTTCAAAATTTGTACCCAAATAGAGTAAGAGTTTAGCAGAAGCAGACTTATGATGATTGATGTTGGGCTAGTAGCTAAATGAAACTTAAAGTTTGGTGTGAATCACTCTCTAAATGTGTTATTTTGTATTAAATACATGTATATTATAATTTGAACTTTAATATCACCAACAGCCTGCACCAAAATAAAAACCTCCAAATTTAGGCAGTCAAAAACAACCTTTAAATTAATGCATATAAATTACAATGTACTAATTTTAACAAGCAACACTAAATTTAAGCCTATCTCAAGACTAGTGAATGGAAATCAGGGTCCATAGCCTGCCTATGAATGGGCTACATTATCAAAAAAATGCACATTCATTGCTACATGCAAGTTTTCTTATTTTATTGGACTTGGTCTTTGGGTTTCATAGGGCCTACTTACAAAATGGGGTCATATATAAAATACAATAAAACCAAATAAAAATCCCCTCAAATTAGTAAGTTATTAACAGTGCCACTAGGATGCGACACTGCTTTTAAACTCTCTTTCTGAGCTTTGTTGTTTTGGTAGAGAAGAATGGAAGTTCTCCAAGTGCTCATTGATCGTACAACACAGACCTAGCAAAGATCTCTTATCCACTTCAGCTGTTGAAACAGCCTGAGTTAATTTGCATTCACTAGAGTACACATAGACTCCCCATCTGTGGTTTCCGGGCATGGGAGAAATTGGGCTACTTTTAAGTCTAATTTTAGCTATCCAGAGCTGCTAAATATCATTTGATCTGGGGCTGAGGAATGTTTCCAAAATTGTTTTTTCATATTCATGAATGTATTATTTCCAGTGGCTATTAATTTCTACACATATCAAACAAACAAAAGCAATTGACTATCTAGAAATGTATGGAATATGGTAAGACATTACCGAATCAATCGCATAGAATTATAAACCCTTTTTGGCATGTGTGCAAACCCATTAGAAATTCCTTGGTAGCAATGCTTTCTATTTCAGGCCTCAATTTTGTGAAATATCACACTGCGGAAGACGTTCCTGGGCAAATATCATTGCCTTCATGACTTTAGATTGTATACTTTAAATTACAACAGAAAAATCGTATTTAACAATTTTATCATATTAGATTCTTAGAACAAATTTGCAAAAGATTATTTTATAAATTTCCGAAAGGGCATATGGATTTAATGTGTGGAAGTGATAATAATAAAAAAAATTTAAATGTGCTAACAAACAGGTAAAGCCAGAACAAACAAAATGACAATATTGTATATTTTACGTAGATTTGATATGGCTACTAACCAACGATACACTACAAAATTTTTGAGTAACTCCTTAACATTGTCAACCAAAACTGGATGTTGATCAACATTTATAGAATATATTCATGAAATAATTTGGAAATGTCTGACAATATATTAAGCTTTCTTCCCATGATATGTAAAACTATTTTTTTCCCCCTTTAAAATTGGTATTTGCCTTTTGCCATTTAAAATGTTTAGAAGTTTCCTTTATGGGAAAATAAAAATAAAGATTTGGAGACCTTTTTCATTGTACTTTGCTATAATATAAGATTTCTTTAAGATCCTATTTTCTTTATTTCTGCTCCCCACACCACTCTCTCTCCCTCTCCCTCACTTCCTAGCTTGCTCTCTCTGTCTCATTTGACAGGCAAATTTGCAGACATTGCCGCAGGATAACAACCTCGTTTGACAGTCAATTAACCGTGAATAGTCAAAGCCAAGGCAGTTTGCATTACATAAATGGAAAATTAGATTCCTTTTTCCCAAGAAACAAAACCCTCTCCTTAAGACACTGCAATAGACAACTTAGTATCAAAACTTCTAATCACGTCTTTCCCAAACCCCTTGGAGACATTTAGCAATCAGTAAAAGGTGGTTTCATTTAATTTGTATAATGTAATTTTTGTAAATGTATTATACATTTTGTGTAGAGATCATTATCATGGAGATAATATAAATGTTGGCATAGATGTCATAAAACACCTTTAATGTCTTTCTGACAGATATTAAAAGCAATAAGCTGTGATCCTTTTTAATGGAAGGTTTCTAAGAGAACATTTCAATTATTGTCATTTTATGCTTTTCCAGCCTGTTTCATTGTGAAACCTGATATATTTCTGAATTTTCTTCTGAAATATGCCCAGCAATTAATAATCTTATTGCTATTAATGTCACTGCTTTCCCATTTGTGTTTTTCTTAGTTATATCTACCAGGAATTGTTTTTTTTATCTTTACCTTGTACTAAATATTCAGTCTTTTGATTATGAATTTCAGCCCCTCTCTCTAACTATTCATTCCTCCTATTTGTTCCCAGCCTACCTGATCTTTCTCTCCAAAAATCTCCTCCAGAAGCATCAGAGTCTGTGATGAAAAAGCTATGCTCCTTGTTCTTATCTAGAACCAAAGCAAAACACAACATCTACAAGTGATCAGACTGACAAGAGAGATACAAAGACATTCAAGAATTTTTTTGCAAGGGGGATACTGTTTAATATACTCAAGTTTGAAAGTGACTAATTCAGTGAAGAAACAATCAGAAGGTTCTAAATATTCTCCCAAAATGTGGCAA